GAATTCGATGAGTTTCAGTTTTGGAGCTTCTAAACAAAGAAACACTACTTTAGCTTGTCACAACTTACAACCATAAATTGGTTGGTTTTAGAATTTTGTTCGGTAAAGGCTCCTATTAAGTGCGCTTTCTGTCGAGAATAACTAACCAAGGAGCCACGAGAATCACAAGATGGTAATACCTATTTCGAAACCTAGTGAGAGCCAGGTGGGACGTTAGAAGACAAAATTAAATTAATATTGCTAAATCTGGATTATTTCTTTTTAATATATACACAACTTTTGATTGGCAATCAATTAAAGGGCCTCCATCTATGACGTACGATTCGTGTCAGGACATTACCTCTTTAGATTGGTAATTCCGTAATTGTATCATTAAAATTTATATTTGTTCTACCAAGAGACTAGTTGAGGCAGGGGAAGACGAGTTTGTTGTTTGGTGAACGATGCCAATTGCCATGGCCTGGCCCCATGCATGGCATTGGCATGAATATAATGGACTCCCAAGTCCCAACAGCCATGTTCTGTTACCTAAATGTAAATCACATATTTGTGTCAAAGTACATGAAGTTGTAAAACTATATTAGCTAGTTTTAAAACCAATTGATTATCATAATTCATAAACGCAATTGATTGTGAAACATATACAGTTTATCTTGTTATATACAGTATGTAGTTATTGTAAAATTTTATACACATTGCAAATGAAAAGACTAAGCTAGTTGCTGTTTTTTTTTTTTGGCATTGTAATAGCGGATCATAATGAAATTTAAATCTTTTAAATAAATGTTCTTATTTCTCAAGAGGAAACAAAGTATTTAGTTTCTTAATAAAAATAAAATGAATTATATCCAAGAAACAAAACACAACAATAATACATAGTCACATAACCTTAATTTTCTTATAAAAAAAAAAAAAAAAAACGTTCAAGTAAGAGACAACAGAAAATGGTTTTGATACCCAATAAGAATCGACAAAAAAAGGAGCTTTTAATTTGTCTTGGCCTATCAAAATACTCATCACTCCACATATACTCTTTCTTCACTCTTCATTATTTACATTCGTGAGTCTTTCACTACCTCTATAAATACACTCCTCTTCTCCACCAAAAATATCATATCATATCAAAAACATATATAAAGCCAAATATAGACACAAGCCTTTTAGCATGAGTTCAACGTTGAGCGATGTGTTTAGATCGCATCCCATTCACATCCCACTCTCAAACCTACCCGACTTCAAAGCCCTCCCAGATTCTTACACATGGACCCCCAAAGATGATCTCCTCTTCTCTGCCTCCGCCTCCGACGAAACCCTGCCGCTCATCGACCTCTCCGATCCCCACGTGACCACTCTTGTGGGCCATGCTTGTACCACGTGGGGAGCGTTACAGATCAGCAACCACGGCGTACCCTCGCGACTTCTCGACGACATTGAGTTCCTCACCGGAAGTCTTTTCCGGCTTAACGTGCAGCGGAAGCTCAAGGCGGCTCGGTCAGAGAATGGCGTCTCCGGCTACGGCGTGGCTCGTATTGCTTCTTTCTTTAATAAGAAAATGTGGTCCGAAGGTTTCACCGTTATTGGCTCTCCTCTCCAAGATTTCCGTAAACTCTGGCCCAGCCATCACCTCAAATACTGGTATCTTTCTCTATGATTCGTTTTATTAACGTTAAGGCCGTATAACGTATAACATATCTTTGTATAAGTGTTTTTTTCTCAAAAGAAGGAAAAAAAAAAAACACACCTGTGGACGTTAGTACAGTTGACTATTCAATTGATATAGATTCGGGAATAATACGAAAAGGGAAAAGTAGAAACCACTTTTTGCCATGTCGTAGTTAGTAAAAAGCACAATGAAAGCTCATGGACCCACCAAAA